TTAAAATATATATAATTGACTTATGTTGTCCAAGTGGAAGATTGTTACAATTATCTCATATTATGGACTAAAATAGTCGATTAATTCAGAGTTAGGTCAATTTACATTAAATTATGAGTAATTACAGTGGTATCATATTATAATACACCTAATATAATATGATTTTAGTTGAGTGTGATCCTAATTTAATTTTATATCTGGACCCATAATGGAATTGGTCAATTTTGACTAATATATTAAAGGAGGTTCTTGTGAAACCTTTATAAATATGAGGTTGGCCCATTAGGTATCATAACTTTAGTTTTTAGAGACAAAAAGAAGTTCTCTCTCCCTTTCTTATACAAATCACCATTCGTAGCCTGAAAGATGGCATTGAATAGCTCATGACGGTGATGCCTCGATTAAGTAAGATTGCGCCTCCGTTCACATCCAAGTTAGTTTTAATTTTAATTATATTATGTTAGTGACTTGGTAAGTTTTTAGGCAAATCCAACATAATGTTCATAAATTTCATAAGCTCTTTTAAACAATAAATTATTACATCATTGTTAAAATCAAGTGATTCAAAAAACTTCTTTAGAAAAACAAGATAATCATATATCAATTACAACTTTATACTATCTTTTAAATTTATCTAAAATATGTGAACAGTGATGAAATAGCTACCATTACTTTCCAACACTTGTAAGGCATTTAAAAATCATTTTAAATGACTTCAACATGTTTTCCACTCGCTATTTGTAAAAAGCATAAGAAATACCATTACTAGAAATAATAAGTAGACAAATGAATCTTCAACCACCAAAAAATTGGTTTCAACCTTCAAAATGAATAGGAAACTTAGAGGATAGAGCAAAAAGAAGAGAAACCTAGAGATGAAAGAAAAGTTGACCAATAAGTGAATCAGATACTTTGGCTTAATAACATAGGCACATGATTGAAAGGAAATGAATATTTTAATAGGGGAAAAAAAGAAAAAGGTATTAATTGAATACAAAACCTAAATCCATCGATTACTAAACAGCCATGAAAACCCAAAAGCAATTACATATCATAGCGTACAAGTCTATAAACTTAATCATTAGATACAAATATATAGTCATCCTTTATTTTTTGTAGGTGCGATTGACCATTTAGTTGAATTTATTTCCTTCAAAGATATTCGAAGCTCAATTCAGGTTTTTTAAAAAGAATAAGTTTCGATCCATGAAACAAAATTAGATTTAAGAGTATAATTACTTATAGGAAATGTTATAGCACTCCTACAATGCCTATCCAAGATGGTACCTACTAGTTTTAGTGTTATACAAAACCTTAAAATACATCTAAAAAAACTTCTTCAATAATTTAATATTTTAAATTATTCTTAAGATTACTCCAATAGTTTTGCAAAAATTTAAAAATAGTTTTTTACCTTAAAAGTATTCGAAAAGATTTTGTCATCAAATTTAAAAACTTTTCCAAAATTAAAATTAAAGTGAAATATTTATATTGGAAGGTCTTCTTGAATTATTCCAATAGTTTGACAAAATTTCAAAAATATATTTCTAGTAATTTATATAGAAACTACAATTATAACTTTTTAGTAATTTCAACATTTGGAAAACTCAAATTTTTATTTTTCTAAATCTTAGAAAAAATTGATATTTCAATTTTTTCCTAAATATTTTTCAAAAGTTCATCTTAAAGGAAAAATTAAAAATATATATTTCAAATATTCCTTTTTATTTTTCAAAAATTTAAAGGAAATTGATACTTCAATTTTTTTTAAAGTCAAAGAAAATTTATATTTCAACTTTTTTTTTATTCTCTAAAAGTTTCATCTTAAGAAAATATTGGCATTTTAACTCTTTCATTAATTTTTCAAAAAAAATTAATTTTTAAAAAACTAATAATTCAACTTTTTCTTTAATTTTTCAAAAATTTATCTTTTAAGAAAATATTGATATGCTATTTCTTTTCTTAATTTTTAAAACAATTTTATTTCAAGTAGATTTAAAAAATACTTCTAGAGTATGAATTAAAATCCACATTAAAAATAAATACAAAAAATTCTTAAAAAGATAAAAAAATTACTATTATGCCCTTAATTAACGTTGGTTTGATCAATAAATGAATGGTCAATGTGGTCAATAGGTGAAGAGCTGGAGGCTGAATCGAGTCAGGTGTGGCTAGATATGGGTCGGGTCAATAAAACATACGAATCTCCCTTATGTAATATGATAGCTAAAACATTTTCTTGTTTTTAGTTTTTCACTTCCACTTTTGTCTTTTCAAAGTCTCCCATTTTTCTAGACAAAACCCATCAAATTCAAAGTTAAGAACACTAGTTGCCATGTTTTTTAAATTTTTCAAAATCAGGCAAGGCTCCACTACCGTCGCCTTCACAAGCTGCTAATCACCGTCGCTTCTCTTAATTTTCCAAAAAAGATCCTTAACACCTCTTTCTTTTCGTTTTTGGCCTTGATTTCCCTTATAACAACCTTTAAACCTATAAATCTATAAAGATAATAACCTACCTTTCCAAAGGCCTAAAACACTTCATTTCATCACTACAATTATTGAAAATAGTGACTCAAATCCCATAAGAAATTTGTTTAGGATTAGTTAGATATTACTTGATAGATAAAAAGACTTGTAGATAAAGAATTTTAAAAGGAAAAGGATTCTTGATAGGTAAGTTAATATATTTATAAATATGTGAAGTCTCTATATGGTTAGATATGAGAAAAAAATGTAAGAGAGTTGTAGGATTTTATAGGATAAATACTTCATAGGACTACTGGAGATTTACATCTTATGGATGTGTATGTTTGAATGTTTGTAAATGGACTAGAAAAAATTGAAAAGGTCCACATAAGTATAGTGCATTGGTGTATATGTGTATGTATTTGTTTAAGTTGAGAATACTCTATAGGACTAAAGAAGATTGAGAGGATCTAAGGATATTAATTATTAGTGCTTGATTTTATGTTTGTTTATAATTCTCTACAATTAATGGAATTTTTTTCTCATCCGTAAAAATCGATTGGGTTGAACTACGTTAAATTATTGTTTCTTGTTTGATTATACTTCCACTAACATGGATGTTTAATTGGATGGAAGCTTATATCAAAACTATGGTGATCCCCAACAAGTGGTATCAGAGTATAGTTTAAGTCATGGGAAGAAGCAAGTCCTAAAGAGCTTGACTCATGAAAGAAGTTTAAGTTCATGTTTTGAATATTGATTTATGTGAAACATGAAGATACACAAGAGAAAATGATTGTGAGACTTCCATTACAGGTGGAGCTAAGCATGTTTAGCATGAAAATTAATGATTGATGAAATTTGAGTCGAGGTGGAGATTGTTGAGAATAGTAACTCAAATTTCATAAGTGATTTATTTGGAATTAGCTAGATATTACTTGATGGACAATAAGACTTGCAGAATAAAAATTTTAAAAGAAAAAAAGATTCTTGATAGGCAAGTTAATATACTTAAAAATAGGTAAAGTCTCTATAAAGTTATGTATGAGACAAAGATGTAAGAGACTTATAGGGTTTTATGAGATAAACATCTCATAAGACTACTAGAGATTTACATTTCATGGGTGTGTATATTTGAATATTTGTGAGTGAACTATAAGAGACTGAAATAGTCCACATATGTATGGTGCATGAGTGCACATGGGTATGTGTTTGTTTAGATTAAGAATATTTCATATAGCTAAAGGATATTGAAAGGATCTATGGGTATTATACTCTATATGACTAGAGGATATTGAGAGGATCTATGTGTATTATACTCCATATGGCTAGAGAAAATTAAGAAGATCTAAGAGCATTAATTATGAGTGCTTGATTTGATGTTCGTTTGTAATTTTCTACAATTAATGGATATTTTTTCTCATCCGTGAACATAGGTCGATTAGGTCGAATCACATTAAATTGTTGTCTCTTGTATAATTGATTGATTATTTGATTATACTTCCTATTGTGTGGATGTTTAATTGGATGAAGGCTTTTTTGCCTAACACTTGATACCAAAGGATAATTCCTAATACGATCGACCTAAACTTTCATTATGTTGTTTCCACTCCTCCACCATACCCATTCATTGTTTTTGATCTTCCATAAGCCACTATTAGGGTTATTTACAAAACCTTTTTTTCTTCCCTCTGCCAACTGCTACTTCAAAAGTCTTCGAGAAACCCTAATACGAGAAATCCTAAAGGAAAATTTGGCTAAAATTTGCTTTTGTTGATTGTTTTTGGATGTTGTTGTGATTGTAGTAGTTTGGGGTTGTTTTGTTGGAAATTATAAAACATCTCTATGTTGGATTTGTGTTTATTGGTTAAGGGTATATAGGTTCACTTTATAGATTATTATGGATTGATTCTCTATGTTGGTGATTCCCCTCTCCCAGAAAACTTAAGTACAAACTTAAACTGAAACCCTAACATTTCTCCAATACCATAAACTATTTCACAATTTCACTATTGTTTTAGCTTTTTTTTGCCTTTTTTCCTCTGCTAGTCTAATTGTGTCCCAAATCCTATAGCAAACAAATAAGATCTAAATTTGAATTTTGTTCAATCTTGGTTTTAAATTCAAATCCAATTTCCCCCTTTTTCTTTCAAATTTTAATTTTTGTTTTGTATTTTTATTTATCTTTTATTTCTGAATTTTTTATCCCTCCAAAATTTAACAAACTTTTAACAAATTTAAATAATAATAATAATAAGAAGAAGAAGAAGAAAAAAATAGAAAATGAAACAAAAGAAAATCAGGCCCTTGGAAACCCAAACCAAAAACAATTTCGATTGAGGCTTAAATCTTACAACTCAAGCCCAAATAAGGATTCAAACTGAAATGGGTTAACCTTAAGCCCATTTCAAAGCCCGTGCTCTTATTAATGGACAACAATGAATACCAGGATTTAAGAGCCGCAGACAAAATGGGTGTCTAGATTCAGTATCCACTAGATCCCGAAATTTGAAAACCAGGACTCCATTCACTGCTTCCCAACACGAGAATAAATTTTTTTTAAAAAAAAAGTATTAATCTACAAAAAGCCTATGCATCATCCTACATGTGATTCATGTACCTAAAGAACCAAAGTAAATGGCTTGCAATTTAATGAGGGATTTCCAGTACCGACAGAATTATGCATTCACTATAGCTGCTTCACAACATCAGTGAATAAAACCGATCAGGTTAGTCCCTTAATCGGCTGCTACTGCCTCGTCTTCTTTTGGCATGATGGACATTTGTAAAACTTAATCATTTCCGCCTTGGCTGGCGTTATCTTCACACACTTTCCATGGTACCACCGTTCACAGTTGTCACAACCAATCCAAAACTCATCAGAATTGTATCCTCCCCCACAGCTCCCACAAAAGGTATCACCCTGCTCTTCTTCATCCTCGTAATTTTCATCAGCTAACATAGGATTGCTTCTTGGCTGTCCATCAATTGACCTCTGAAAGGCAAAAGGTTAATTATAAAATACAAAACCAATCAAGTGAAACAACAATGATGATACAAACTTCACATTTAACAATTTGAATTGCTTTTATCATTCTCATGAATGAAGGGCAGCATAAATTCACCTTTGTGCTGTTTCGTGATTTGCTTCCACTCTCCACAGTGGGCTTGTCTTTGATGGATTTCCTTCCAGTTACAACTTCAAAGCAAGTAGGAAGATCATTTATCATGCTAAATAAGCGCTTCCTGTTGAGTGAAGGGCACAAAACTCATGATTTATGGTCCTATCACAAAAGTTTCAGAAAAGCAAGCCACAGAGAGAAAGAGAGAGAGAGAGTGAATACAGAAGGTTGACATCATAGGAACTAGGGATGGAAACAGGTCACTATCGGGGCGGTATGGCACTCCCCATCTCCATAACCAATTATGTTACATTTATCTGTCCCCGTCCCTGTACCCTCCAAGTAATACTTTCTTGTACACATCCCTGTACTTAGTGTGTAATGCGTAACCCGAACCCACCCCAAATACCCAATTATTCCTTTTTGAGAGCTAAAGCTTTCGGGAAAAAATTTTAGAATGAATTAAAATTTAATCTCAAAAAGACAAACCTTTTAAATCAGAGCCCTAAAACCATAAATTATCTAGTAAACTTTATCCCAAAATCCATTGAAAAATTTTATAAAAAATCAAAATCCAAAAAAAGCCAACAAAACAAAAAAGAAGGAAAATATCTCAGAAAAAAAGTAAACTAAAAAAAGGGAAAAGATCTATATTGAGGTTTTGATGATGGAAGTTTTTTTGGGAGGGGGGAGAAGAATAAGGAAAAAGAAAGAGGGGAGCAAGATTGAGGTCGCTGGTAGCAAGTTATGAAGCACGGACACGGACACATAATACAGATACAACACGATACAGACATGGCAACACGAGAATTTTTAAAAAATGCGGACACAAATACAACAGTACACAGCAATAAAAAACATTTTTTTATATATCATAATTATCAGTTAAAAAATATATGGTAGATATTAGACTGATTTTTAAAAGATATTTACTCTTGTAAAAAAAAATGATGATAGGCACAATAATAAAAGAACATATGGTGTTATTATCCACATGAGAATTGTTTTTTTCTTCTTTTTCTTCTTCTTTGTCATATCTGTCGAATGTATTTAGGCATATCGCAAGCATCAAAGTATCGGACACGGATACAAAATGGGCATACAAGAGGTTTAGAAGTGTCCATACTTCATAGGTAGCAAGACTACCATTGCAAATCACGGAAATGGAAAAAGAAAGGTGATAGTACCATATCCCGGAGAGAGGGAAGCAATGAGAAGGAAGAAAATTAGAAGAAAAAAAGACAAAGGAAAGAAAAGGCGAAAAAAGGAACAGTTGCTGAAAACGAACATGCTAGTTGAAGCACATGCGAACAACAACTAAAGTAGAGAAGAGAGTGAATAGAGATAGTGGCTGATGATTGATGAGAAAGAAAGAAGAAAATGAAAATTGGTGAAAAAACAAATTTATAGGTAGGGTTTTAAGGTTTTTGTCTAATATTAGTCAGGTATCAAGCAACTCGCGAGGCAAGTAATACCCACCCATCCTATACCCAAACTCAATTAACTGTTTAGAATAATCAGGTCAAAAAACCCCTCATAACTGTACCCATTTGGGTAAGAAATACAGATTACCCATCATGTATGCGTGAAATTGTCATCCCAAATAGAAAATTGTCATCCCAAATAGAACCAACAATGCGATAGCTAGTGCTGGGTCCCTTGTGAATTGTGATATTACATATACAACCCCTTTTTTAAAAGGAAGAGTGAAAATAAAAAAATCGTTGGAACAGGCCCATCAACTTCTAGTCTACAACAATAAACACACGCATACACAAGAAAGCAATCCTCGGGTAAAAACAAGCATTCTTGTTAAAATATGTATGCATGTCAAGGTTGTCCAGCACAAGTAGAACCAGGGGTTACCAACTTCTTAAGGTCCCAATGATGAAAACAGGGATTCTCAAGTATGATGCATTAAAGATGCAAAGTGCTGGTTGAACCTGTCCTTCATCTACTTCAGCATATATATTACTTACTGCAATATGTCATAAGCACCTATGATTGAAAGAGTTCTTACAAGTCTCTTCCATCAATATTCGATTTTGCCAGGCCTAATGTGATATCAATGAAACTGCAAAATACAACTTTACCCAAAGAAACAACAAAACCAGATCTAATACAACAGACAGAGCCAGAACTAATTAACTGGGGAGAGCTAATTTAAGATAGTAATGAAACCTTAAGAGGGAAAGGGTAGGGTGGGAAGGTTGCGATAAAATTTTGAGGGCAACATAATAGCCTTTAGTTTATTAGCTGATGACTTCCATTGTGCTATTGTGTTGGCCACAAACAGAACGGAGACAAAGAAAGAGGGATGAGGAGGGGGCTGAGGCTTATTATGAATTTCAAGTTATAGTTGGAAAATAATCTCTCTTTCTTTTTTCCTTTATCATTGAAAGGAGCATTATATTCGGTACCCAAGAACAAAAGTAATGCCTACAACCATGAACTAATCACCTAAAACTAGTAAGGGGGAAAACAAAGAAAAAAGGCACCAAAAAGAAAAGGAAAAGAAGTATAGTTTGATATATGTATCTTAACCAATTAAAAGCTTAGAATGCCTATCCTGCCACAGACTCCAACAATGGGACAGTTAATGTTAAGTAAATAACATCACTCCTTTAAGTGATACGTGTCTTAATTCAATCAAACTAATAGTCATAGCATGGGGCAATTATTGAAACAGGGGAGCATTCTCAGATTAATTTGGGAAGGACCTTCAAAGTAGCCTCCCTGGATTAAGGATAAAAGCATCAGATAAAATGGAGACAGTGGTCTCTGCTTAAAGGATTCTTGAGATAGAGGATAGAAGGTATTAATCTCCAGATTCCCATCTTACAATCCATAAACAGAAGAGTGGATGACTCCAGATTGAAGTAAAGAGAACAGGCAAAAGGTAGGAGTAAGGTCTTTAGCATTGCTTTGTTGGAGGATTTTGAAGTCGTATAGGTTACTGACTTGGTGGCTAGAACTGAGAATCTACCTAGATTGCATGCATCCAAGGGTGTGATTGTCAAAGCCTCCAAAGAGAAAAAAGGATTTTCAAATATGTCACTTGGTAGTGCACTCAAAGTGCAACATAACATTCTATTGGTTCTGACAATTAAATGCTGGCAGAAGACCCCGAGAAACCTCTCAATTCTAAACACTCAATCATCCATTTACCCCCACCCAACTGAAATTTCTTCTGGATTGTTCACTCTCACTTCAAGTTCAAATCAATACTGCACTCTCCCTCAATCCTAACGTAACACTAGAAACCCTGAATCTTCAAATTCAGTGAATGTAAACCACCTAAAAAACAATATTCATGGCTTCATGCAATTATACAGTACCAGGTTTTGCAAACTCAAAATGTCAGGGGAACATATGGAATCAACTGCCTACCAATTTAAAAACTAAAATATGAAGTCCTTAAGGCAGGTAATGGGGTGAATGAAAGCACGTAGATGGATTTATATCCAATAAACAGTTATCTGAAAAATTATAATATTTCAGTATGTAACATATACTTCATCATTGTAGCAGTCCCATATTCATTTGTCTAATCACAGACAAAATCATCACAAACAACATAACAAAACAATGACCTTGATAAAATAAATTCCACCCAATAAGGGAACATTACTTCTAAGAGTGGCCCATATATATAAAGTATTCCAACATCAACATCAGAATTCTGATGGTAAAATTTTTCAAATTTCAGCCCAACATCAGACTCCTTTCTCATTTTCTTTTATGTCAAGTCACAGACTTTCATATCCACTATGGCTAAGACAAATAATTGTTTAGAGCAAGAGAACAGAACATAGAACATAAACACCATATCAATGCAAAAAAAGAAAAAAATCAAAACATTTGCAATTCAAGTAGAGAAAGATAGACGCCAGAACAATGTACCTCTCGTTGCCATTAAGTCGAGCTCCAAAGTAGAAAGCCACGGAAAGCAACCAACAATCACTATGCACTGCAACCAGTGAAAGCCAGTCTTTACGATTCATCCCATCTCTTGCAAAATTAACACCCAAGGCTGGCTCAGGGAGCTCTGGTGGAACTTCCTCTGCTGGTAAAGCTACCTCCCAAGCCTCATTTGGGTGTCCATACAAACACAAATTCTCCTTATCTGAGCAGCAACAAATTAAAAATACTTCAATAAAAAATTAAAGCTGCAATCAAAATCACAAATTCTACAGCCTAAAATAAAGCACAACTTGGACATTGCTCAACTGCTAAAAGAAAATGCAGGAAAAATGAAAATAAAACCAATTGCATACTGCATATGAATAAATTTTCCGTTTCTTCTCAGAACTCAAACAAAAATTCTAGCAGTCTCAAAGACAAAAAGGAAACAGATTCGCATCTAAATTGAACAAGTGACCAAAAAATCCAAAGGCCTATAAGGAAAGGATACAACGATTGATAAAATTTTCTTCTCTGATTTCCATCAACTTCCTATACTTATTTACTTAAAAAGAAAGTCAACATAAAGATTGAAAATCCAATGGCCTATAAGAAATCAGAAACCTTGAAACAATAAATCGAATGCAAAGGCAACAAAAACTCAACTTCAAAATCAAACTGGATCGATCGCATCACCTAGAGACTACTTAGCTCACTCCAAATTAAATCATGACGGACAAATAGAACTCCCATCTCTATTTTCCTCAGCAAACAAAAATATATAGAAAAACTGAAATAACAAAAAAAGGACAGAAACTGACCCGGATCGCATTGCGAGTAGAAATCATCTACATCTGATCCAAACCACACGAAAGCAAAAACAAATTAATAAAATAAAATTAATAATAAATTCAAAGAATGAAATTAGGGTTTACAGAAAGAGAAAATCACCGTAAGTGAGAGCACGAACGAGACCGGAGCGTCGAGCGCTATAATCTTTGAAGATCTCTTCGACAGTTCGAGGACTAGAAGAAGCCATTTTTCTCCAAATAAATATTTATAATTTATAATTTTTTTTATTTTTGTGTGTACAAAGAGAGTGTTTTGCTTTCGGAAACGGATCGATTGGTTATTTGCGGGGACAGTTTTTTTTTTTTTGTTTTTTGAGAAATCGATAGTTTCAAAGACAAAAAAGCAGACTTTGTGAAGCTCACGTGTACGAAGCGCAGAAATGACCGAGCTTTGTCAGTTTGGTACTTCGGTGTCAGGAAAAACAAAAAATATAACATTGGTTTTGGCAGAATTTCATGGAACTTTATGGGCTTGTTTGGTCTTGGCCCAAAAATAATAAGGCTCTGTTTGGTACTTGTCAAAACAAAATGGCAAGGTCATGTTTGGTCTTGGCTCAAACCAAAACAAGGTAGGAGTTCAAACTACATTACCCCCATCCCACAAAAAAAAAAAAAAAAGGAAATATAATAGGGCCCATTTGGGGACATTTTGGAAAATATTTCTTTTTTATTCAATCATTTCAGGGCTTATTATGTTTTCATTGATTATTGGAGTAGAAAAGGTTATTATTATTTTTTTTTAGTTAAAGTTTTAGCCTTTATGAGAATATTGAAATTTTATGAATTAATTAATAAAAGTATAGAATAGGAGTTCTAAAGTGCAAAAATACAAAGGCTGGACACTCTATTCCTTTCTTTTATTCCATTTTTCTTCTTTCAACTTTTGGAGCAATTTGCAATTGATTTTATCACCTAGGTTTATAACCTACTTATAGCTTATATGAAAATTGCTTTTTAATTGTAACAAATCACAATGAACCCAAAAGATATTTCACATTTTACTTTTTTAAATGAAAACCAAAAACTAAAAATATCATAAAGTCTCACTTTTATATATACTTGTAAACACAAAAGTTAAAAGATCTATAAATCTAAAAATATTTATATGTTTCAATATCATTTTTAAAAAAATTAAAAAATCGTTAAGGTGGATTTAATTTAATAGTAGGATTTGCATTAACAAAATTAATAATTTTAACTTTTTTCTTTACTTTTTTTGCATATAATAGAAGTCATTGCAATCAAGTTCAACCAAAATTCTCAATATGTATCTTTTTTTTTTGTACTTTTGTTTAGACCAAAAACGAAATTGGGTAGGCTTTTATCAAAAAAGAACACAGATTAAGAGCAAAGGTCTAAGGTTATTCTGACATTTGTACTTCAACACACAAATTAGTGAGGTAAACAAATAGAGAGGAAAGAAAGCAAGAATACTGAAAATAAGAGAAAAAGATTACTTGCCTCACTTGAAAGGGAATGAGAGATATTTATACATGATATGGCATAGTAGGCAGCATCTAACTTGGTGTAGGTTATTCGGACATGGCCTTAGGTGAACCGGATAGCTACCCAACACGTCAACATGCCCACTTGGGGATGCATAAGTCGCAACAAGGATCCACGTTAGCTATAGGTAGTAGAAGTCTAACAATATCAACTATACGCCTCTACTAACAACATGGTCATATCAATTTGCCTTTCACTAATTGTGCAAGGATGTCAGGTCGTCATAAAATGAAAATACCCTAAGTTAACCAAAAGTTTAAAATGCCCTTGATCCAAATGTAATATTCAAATGTCCATTTTGCCCTTAAAGTTAATAATGTCCATATCATTTTACCCTTTCAACAGCTAATTTAATGGTTCAAAATAGGTGATTTAGACTTTTCATAGGTTGAGTATCCGGGCAAAATGGGCACACCTTTACTAATTAAATTTTTAGATCGCTTAACAAGTTGAAGAAGAGGATGACTATGTCATTGAAATAATTTTAGGTTCGATGTCAAGGTGAGGTGGTTGTTTAGCATAAGCGTTCAATTTTTGCAAAATGAGTTTAAGTCAAGTGTTCCTGTCAGCAATTCCCATCAACTATTGTGGGAGTTGTTTAGGCCATGCTTGATTGGCAATCCGTACATTAGTTTTCTTTTATTGATAACTTATAAAATTTTGTTGACTTCTCGAATGGGTGCTAAGATTAGACATGATTATTGAGGGTTTTTTTTTTTTTTTGAATGGTAAATTGAAAGGTTGCCTTTTTTTCTATATATAAATATATGAACTTTTTCTTTTAAAGCCATTACTTTCAAATCTTTTAGTAAAACTTTTCCTCTTTGAGGATTTGAACTACTCTGTAGAGTTTTAGGTATTCTTCTAGTTTTTCGCTATTCTAGATCATTTTTAGGCATTTTGCTAGGTTTTTAGGTATTCTAACTTTTTTTTTTTTTAGGTATTCTTGGTGGCCTCCTTTCTTCGAATTTTGACCTTATTCTTCAAACATTGGTACATCTTCAAACATGTCTCACTCCAATTCATCTTTAAAATTCTTAGATGCTGAGGTGAATCTAAAGGCTGAGCTTTTGACCAAGGTAGTCAAGGTGAACACCACTTCATCATTATATTTAGATGAGTCTCCCTCGTGCACTTTAAATGCCTAAAGTGAAGAGTTAACCAGTTATATATGGTTTTGGCCTTTGTCCAAATACCAAAAAAATGCGTTGTATGAGAATGAAGCAATTCGTACTGTTGTTGAGTTGAGCCAAAGTGTCGTACCTAACTAAATGATCCTTTCTATTAAAGTTCATCCTCATTGGCCCATCTTGAAAAATAAGGATTTGAATCTGAAAGTTCTAACTAAAGACGAGAATGACTCTTAACTCGATAACGAAATCCAAAATGATTTACCTCAAGCCAATAACATCTTCTTAGATAACAAACCCATAGAAACCATAAATTCTTTAAAAAGTCAAGCTTTCCCCAATAATTGATCTAAATTGTTTACAAATTGTCATATAAATGAGTTTAGAAAAAATTTTGACCTCCCAAAAGATTACAAGGTCAAGTCTTCTGATTTTTCTAATAGAATAACTTAACATCAAGGTCAAAATAAATTATTGGCATACAAGGAGGCCATGGTTGCCATACTAAGATTTTTTTACATCTTGTCATAATGATTATTTTAAATTTTTATTATCAGTTCCTTTTCAGCTCGTGCCCAACTCTTGGAGCATTGTTGGCTTTATAATGCTAATAAAAAGTATAAGTTAGATAAATGAGTTTAGGAATATTTTGGACCTTTCAAAATTTTACAAGGTTGAGTCTTTTGATTTTTCTGATAAAAGAACTCAACATCGAGGTCAAAATAAGTTGCAAGCGTACAAGGGAGCTATGGCAACCAAACTAAGATTTTCTTTACATTTTTTCATAGTGATTGTTCTAAAGTTTTATGGTCTAACTCCTTTTCAGCTTGTACCTAACTCGTAGCATAACATTGTTAGGTTTATAGTGTTAGTAGGGGGCTTAGGTCAATGTTTAACCCTTAACCTTTTTAGGAATTTCTTTTCAATAAAAGCTTATCCTCAATATCACAACTGGTATTATGTTATAGCTAAGTCTAGTAAAAAGTTATTTGATAAAATCCCTACCTCAATAAAAACATAAAAGTTATTATTTTATTCCATTATCACACCTAACAAAAAATGGATAGTCCAAACTAGCCTTGGTTGATTTATTAGCCATTTGAGTGGCCAATTTGCTCTTTGTGGAAGATGCTCATGTCTTCTAAAATATCAATAAAATTAGGAAGTATGGGATCTTATTGATCAATGTAAATCCTTTAACCTCAGTTAATACTCTTTGTTATTTTAAAATTAAAGGTAATTATGAATAGGTAATTTTTCAAAGGTTTGCAAAACTTGAGGCTAAATGTCTAATTATTTTTTGTTTATTTTCAGATATAGCAGGTGCTAAAGATCAAGCAAAGTCAAGCTTGCAAGCCGACAAAGGGAAAGAGAAGCAAGCTCCTACCTTTAACATTTTTTACTTCATCAAACTTTTTAAATGGTAAGTCAAGAGCAAATGAAGAAGAAGAGCTCAGCAGGTCATATGTTGTTGAGCTTAACTTTTCAAGTCTGTCTTCCTCAACTTAACTTCCCCATTCTGATCTTTTCGTCAAGGTTAAAGTTGTTAAGGTCTAACCTCTTTGACCTATTACAAAACATTCTTGCTAGGTGACGGATATGCCCGATTCTCCTCCCCCTCAAACTGAAGTTCTAGTTGAAACCACTGTTTTGGTGGTTACCCTATTTTGTAGAGATAAGTGAAAATGAAAGTGCTTATGACTTCACTAGATTTTTTTCATAAAATTATCAAGTTCATGATACCTTCTATAGGTGAGTTTGGTAACTTAGTTATTCTTTGTTATATCTTTTAATGTTTGTATTGTGGCTAATCTTAACTTAATATTTGATTTTTTTATTACATATTTTTTTAGATAAAAAGAAATTCAACATTCCTATGGTTAATAACATCAATTTTGTGCAACATTTTGCCCATGATGCTTTAGCTCATGTTGATTGGGCTGAAACACAAAAACAAATATACAAGCTTAGATCAAGGATGAGAAACACACTCAAGAAAAAGGCTTGATAAATTCAAATACTCTTACAAAAAATTAAGTCTCCGTATGCAACTATTAAGACTAAGCTAGACCAACTAAAATTTGAGCTAAGAAAAAAGAATGATACATTAAAGAGGAAGAATATCGAGCTGAATGAACTTCAACTTAAGTTTAAATATGATGAGGCAAAGTTTAAATACTAAGAAGAAGTTTACAATGTTATGAAGGCTACCTTGGTAAATTTTCAAGAAACTGAGAAATTACAAGTTGTTGCAAAACTGCAAATGAGGTCAATGTCTGAAAGTCCTTTAACTTGGCCAAAGACGAGGTTGACAATCTACCTCTACTTTAATCTTTCAACGATCTTTGTTAATGATCTTAAAATCCTCCAACCTCCAGGATAAAAAAAAAAAGATGAGGACAATGATAATGATGGTAATGATGACAGTGGAGACCAAATGTAAGTAGAATACTAGGGAGCTCAATTTGATTAAGAGTATGAGGATACCACCTATATTGAGAGGAGAAATGAGAGATTCAGACATAGATTTATATTTGTAAGCAATTTTATATAATACAATTATTATGGGATCATAAAGAATAGTCATTTTGCTAAACAGTTATAAGATTATAAAAAATAATATTTTGCCAAACAATTTTCATAATTATATGTGTTTTGTTTGTTTATTAAAATATATGTTTATTTAAGATCAAATTTCACATCAAGACCTTTAGCTCAGCTAAATTGATTTATCATAACCAAACTTACCACTCTTAAGATCGATTGTCATGCCTTTG